AGGAATGATCCCAGTTCGCAATTCTGGCGACCTCTTTACCACAGCCATAACAAACAGCATGCATCACATTTTGAAAAAAAGCATGAAAAGATGTTTTTTCTGTGTTATTTGAGCACCATGGGCCTTAAAACTTCACTCATAGACAGACTGCTGAAGACATTTAACATGAAAGGAAGCAGAGAAGTATCTCATGGCATTCCAGAATGTCCCAGCACATAATTTCGATTTATTTCCCGGCAAGGTAGGTTACCAAAGCACTTCTGAAAATACCACCAAGAACATGCTACAAATTATTTCTAAGTTTCCAAGTACTTTTGAAGATATGGCTATCACTACCTAAATTACTATGAAAAATGGGTTCCTAAGTCACTTAGATGATTTTTCACCTCCGAGTCCTCTGCGTATCGGTATGACTGGGATGGCAAGTTGCTCGGCAATAACAAAAGAAACAAATGGGGGGGGAAAAAAGAAAATAAGAAATACATGTTACAATACACGGGACCTTCTGTAAGGCTGTTGTGCACTGGCATGCTAATTTTTGTGTGGAAGGTATTATATTCTGTCCTTTCTGTGTATAACACAAATATAATGTATATGTGTATATGTATACCAAGAGAGAGTACACTATACATACTACAGAATAGTGTGTACTATACATATGTATACATTTCATACATAGTACAATGTGAACTACACATTGATTACTCTGCTATAAACTACAGTCTTGACTAGAGATTGCCATGAGTTTATCTGGATATACCATGCTTATTTCATGTGCTAAACAACCCTTCATAAATGTGTTCAGATGATCTCCCAAAAACAACTTGTGCATTTAAACTCCCTACTAAAAACAATCACTATATTTTAACATTTGTGTTAGGAGAGAGCCTTGAGTTGAAGGCAGAGCTTCATTGCAGTAAGTGCAGCTTGTATCTAAGCCAAGAGACAATTCCTCAAGAGAGCAGACAGCCCAGGCAGACAGAACTGCTTCTGTTCTTCCATTGACATTACAAACATTGGGATCATGATGTTGACGAGACCAAGAAGCAATGTTTAGTTAAAAGCCCCTTGGGTCAGTAAGTGCTTCAATCAAAATACAATACCAGTCAAATGACAACCATATAAAAAAAATGTGTTCCTGCATCCTGCAGAAAAATGCACAAGCTGTTACTTTTGATGGAGTTGTATGTTTTTTAAAGTTTAATAATTTATACTGAATGCATAAAAGAGAGCAAACTGTCCTAGCCTACAGCAAGGACTTGACAGCAACATTTCACTCTGTAAAATTAAGCTGTTACATACACATATTTGAAGCTATGAGAAATGTTCCTTTTCCACATCCCTTCAATCGAACAAAGGGAGTAGGAGCTGGCAGTTACTCCATTTTCTGAAAAACTAGGAAATTTATTCAGCTGCCTAAATGTGGACTTAGGGTTACATCCTCAAAACAGCCTAACAATTTCAGTGCTTCATTTCCAGCTACACTGTAGCCCAGTGGCATTCATAGCTCTGAAGTAGCTACTGGCTCATCCTAAGACAAAGAAGGGAATCCACAGAAATCACACAGCAGGGACTGAGGCACCTCAGCTGTGCAAGGAGATGGATGAGGTTTCTGTCCTGCTACTGAGACTCAGGAAGAGACTCCTGACTCCTTTAGCTTTCTAAACCCTCTACCAAAGACTTAACTTTCACTCAGAAGTGGTCCCTCCACACATCCCAGGTGACACACTGGGTAGCCTGGACAATGAAAACCTGCCGTCAAGCTGTCTGTCATCTCTGACTTGATCTGGAGCTGTGCTTTGGACAGGCTCTGTTTTTGATAATATGTTGCAGGACCATTCAGAGGAAGTATGTCTCACTGAATCTGCTCCAAAGCAAACACATTATTAAGCAGTGAATGACAGAGAGAGGGAAAGAAACCAAGCCCTGAAATCAGCAGACCATAGACTTGAGCTCCATATCAGAAGGCACAGAAATTAGATTTAAGTCCCTCTACCAACAAATAGTCGAATAAAATTTGAGCTAAGTAGAACAGGTAGAATCAAGATTTTCTCACCCCCAGCAACCACAAGTGGGCACTTCTGAGAGGACAGGTTCACAGCCCTGTTCTGGTTTACATGAGAAGACAGAGTTGAAAAGAAATCTTCCTCTAGGGAGGTTGTAACCACCAAACTGTTTGGTACATTGCCATCAAAACCCCATGGCACCAGCTGTTTCATGTCTGGGGTCCAGTTCAGTAGTCACAGGGATAATGCTGGAGCTTTGGATGTGACTTAAGGCACGGAACGACATGGCAGCAGCACTGATGATTTTGGGAATTTGCTACTGCCTGAATTCCTGGATACACAACACCTAAATGACTTTCCTGGGCAGCCTAACTGACATACCTGTACCAGGCTAAGTCTCTGAGTGACTGTGTAGCATTTTAAAAATAGGACACAAGTTCCTAATTCTGCTCTTTTCTGGACTTTATTGAAGACCAGTAATGGTTATACCTTTGGGGGAGTCTGTACGTTGCCAGTCTTGCTGGGCTGAGTCGGATATGGAAGCGTTGCACTGAGATGAGAGAACTAAAAAGCAAAGGAAAGACATTTTCAGTGTGAATTCCTACATACGGCATTATCCCTTCCCCACCAGCTAGTCCCCATCCTGCAGCTCCAAATCACTTTGATTTTATTATGGGAGGACTTTACCAGAAGGCACAGAACTTAGATTTAGGTACTTCTATCAGTAAAAAGTTGAATAAAATTTGAGCTAAGCGGAACAGGTAGAATCAAGATTTTCTCACCCCCAGCAACCACAAGTGGGCACTTCTCAGAGGACAGGTTCACAGCCCTGTTCTGGTTTACATGAGAAGACAGAGTTGAAAAGAAATCTTCCTCTAGGGAGGTTGTAACCACCAAACTGTTTGGTACATTGCCATCAAAACCCCATGGCACCAGCTGTTTCATGTCTGGGGTCCAGTTCAGTAGTCACAGGGATAATGCTGGAGCTTTGGATGTGACTTAAGGCACGGAACGACATGGCAGCAGCACTGATGATTTTGGGAATTTGCTACTGCCTGAATTCCTGGATACACAACACCTAAATGACTTTCCTGGGCAGCCTAACTGACATACCTGTACCAGGCTAAGTCTCTGAGTGACTGTGTAGCATTTTAAAAATAGGACACAAGTTCCTAATTCTGCTCTTTTCTGGACTTCACTGAAGACCAGTAGTGGTTATAACTTTGGGGGAGTCTGTACATTGCCAGTCTCGCTAGGCTGAGTTGGATATGGAAGTGTTGCACTGAGATGAGAGAACTAAAAAGCAAAGGAAAGACATTTTCAGTGTGAATTCCTGCATACGGCACCGTCCCTTCCCCACGAGCTACCCCCAATCCTGCAGCTCCAAAGCACTTTAATTTTATTATGGGAGCCATCCACAGCAACTGTAAAATTAATTGGCATTTCTGACTTGCTGCTGAGGTGACTTAACGTTTCCCCGGGCACAGTGTCACTTCATAGACACCTTTTCTTGAGGAAAGCCTCTGTGTGACCAGTCCAAGGCAGGGGATGCTCAGCCTGCCCAGGAGGTGTGAGCTGGGGCCCCCCTGCCATAAATCCGGAGACTACTGTTCTCCCAGCAGGGACGTGTGCTCCTCACTGCTCCTCTCAGTGCAGGACCTGCTGCCCCTTTCATGCCAAGCTGTCAGGCTGCGAGCTATGATGGCGGGGCACTTTCCTGCTCTGCTGCTAGCACCACAGAGGGGACAGCATCCCACCACGGGGAGGGAGCGCCGGAGGAAGCCACCACACTGCCAAGGATACAGCCAGGACTGCCTTGGGAGTTCTTTATGTGGTAAGACAACATACATCTGCTTGAACTTTCATCTGTGGTTTCTTCCTGTCGCAGCAGGGAGAGCACCTGTCACCCTGGCACCGCACTGTGTGTCCCTAAAGATCTAACACATCCCCACGCAGTGTACAGAGCACAGTGCATTGTCATGATGCAGCACACTGTCACCCGTAGTGGGGTCTCACCAAAATCTGTGGCAAATTTGGAACTGCAGCAAGACACCTCCAATGTCAAATGGTGAGACAGATGGAGCATCAAATGGGCTTCCCCTGCAACAGGACACTCACCCTGGGTCTTTCTGCATTTCCCAAAACCCAGCTGGAGCCCCATTCCTGAGCCAGGGAATGGCAGGGAAATCCAAATGGCCAGCAAAGGGCAGGTCTAAAGGGCACAGTGTAAACAAGCTTTTGTGGGACAGTTTGTCAAATAAACCCATTTGAACAAGCATTTGTGTGCTCATACAACGGCACTGAACATGGAGGGGGCAGATAGTAGCAATTAACAGTGGCAGGGCAGAGAGCATCACAAATTGTGTGAATTACACAAACTGGGGACTGGCTTAAAGCTACGCAGACTCAGGAGAAATGTCTCCCAAATTAAGCTTTCTACCCTCAGCTTATCAACATATACTTACACCTCCATCTTGACTTTTGCAACTTTTTGTTCCTTGAGTAGATAAATGCACCTTCCCAGAAGACACTGACTACACTGCCCACATCTACAGCGCTCACAGACTTCAAAAAATATAACTAGGGGCATGCAGGACTTTTCTGGTTGGTGACTAAACCAGACAAGTCAGAGGAACATTGGGATCCAAAATGGGGGTTTTTCCAAGTTTTAACCAAAAGATACCAAAAGGTAGTAACTTCTGGTTAAACAAAACCAAAATGTTTTGTTTCATTTGGAAGAGCTTTTAAGCCATTCACAAACTTTTTCTTCTGATAATTTAAGCCCAGTTTCAAATTAAGAAAAAAAAAAAAAGAGTACAAAATCAAAGCAAATATTTCACTAATATAATTTTTTACAGTTCAATTTTTTTCAAAGTTTTGTATTCTCTCCTCCTTCCTGGATTTGTTGTCACATTGTTTTTTGTTGTTTTTTTTTTTCTAATTGATGGCTTTGATTTGAACTTCTCTCTTGCCCAGCCAGATACAGTTTTATGGGGAAGAGGGAGACCACCCCACAAAAACCACCCAGCATGGCTTTCATGTGCCTAGTCACAGAGTATGACAGCAGTCATACAACTGGGATAGCCCCCACCTCCCAACTCCTTCCACATCAAAGATGCAGATCCTTTCCTGATATAAGGCCTTGCTAATTAATTAGAAGCTACACAGAGCATTTAATATCCACTCAGATCCTCACTGGGAGTTGCACTCATCTAACCAAAGGCAGAATTTGAGTCTGATTTTAAACCTGTGCCTCATTTTTACATTTATTACCCACTCCCTATAAATTAGTTGGGGGAAGGATGGAGGAATACTTTAAACTTTCCGCATGCAGAGATCTCAACATTTATCTAATAATTTTCCAGTAACCTTAAAAGAATTTTGAGCAAACTAAATTACATGAGAAGAAAAGAAGGTACCAAAGCTCAGGTTATGAGACCCCCATCTTACCACTTCTGTTGTCGTTGCTCCAGCCAGAGCAATCATGCTTTGCATGAGGAGCAGCACAGCCACCTGTGTGTGCTTCATCTTCTCAGCCAGCAGATGTGACAGCAAAGGGACAAAGGAGGTCTTTTATGGCAAAGTCTGGGGATTTCCCCAACCAAACCTTAAGGAACTTGAATTATATTTTTTTTAAGTTTTTGAAGAAGTGATGTCACGAAGTCATATAAAAACAGGTGCCAAATTACTAATGTACAAAGAGCATACAAGTTACTCACTACATCCAATTTCCTAACAGAAAAGCTTTCCCATATGGTGCAGTATTTAATCTTAATCTTGGTTATGCAGAACATTGAGCGCTTATTTGCTAGGACAGATAGACAAACATTTCCTCTTACTGTGAATCAATCCTTACAGATTCCTTCTAAGTTATGCAGACAATACAGGTCTGGGTGGTATTTATTACTTCTTATAGGTAGAGAAGAGCAGGTTAGGACTTTTCACACACCAGAAACATCCTCCCCTTATTTCAAAGGCCAACAGATCTTTGACAAGAAGTAAAACGCACAGGGGTCTCTACAGCTTTTCAGTTCCTTCAGCTCTCACATAGCACAGGTGGGACACAAACAGACTATCTTCTCCCATTTGCTTCCATGTAGGTTCATGCCTTGTACATTAACATTATGTACCCATTAAATGCTTACTTGTGCATTAACACTGTGTACCCATCAATGCTGACTCACACTCTCTTCTCACAGAGTTGCATGCCACCTGACCACAATGATTTACTGTCCTCTCTCTAGACCACTCGTCCAGAAAGAGATAAAGGCTGCAGGCAATGTCTAGTATGGTCCCCACACTCCCCAGCTGCACCACACTACAGTATGATGGGCAGTGATTTGCCTGCAGTTCCCAAGGCATTCAGCCCACCATGGGAGCTCCCCACTTCCAACAAGCTACTGCCTTGGTGGAGTCAGGTGCAAGCCTCCAGACAGTGCAACTGAAATTGAAATTTCTCTCCAGACTTCTGTAGATCACTGGGGAAACAAGCTTGGTGTTTGGAGGAAGGTTCTAGTTGGGACCAAGGGGATGGCCATGTCTGTGCACTTGTAAAACTACTCAGTAAGTCCATAGTCCTTTCCTCTACCTGTATCCTCAATGCAGCATTTTCCCTTTCCTTCTTCATTTTGTCAAACTTAGTTCTTCTACTAGGTCAGCAGCAAATGGAGACCCTTGTTCCCTTCCAAATGCTGAAGGGAATGTTACGGGCAGGAGCAGTGGCACTTCCGAGCAGTGGTACTGCCTCATACAAAACCTGTCTCTCAGTTGAGGAACATAGAAGGCTTTCTTGTTTTATCATAGCACTATCAGCTCCAGGTGGCAAACAGGAAAGCTGAGGCTTAGGGCAGATCCATACTAGAACACTCTTCAGAGCAGTCCAGTCCACTGGACTAACATGTTTTTACCACAGTATCACATGAAGCATAAGCCTCCTGACAGATACAAGTGATAGGACAAGAGGAAATGGCCTCAAGTTACACCAGGGAAGGTTTAGGCTGGATATTAGGAAAAATTTCTTCACTGAAAGAGTGATCAGACATTGGAACAGGCTACCCAGGGAGGTGGTTGAGTCACCATCCCTGGAGGTGTTCAAGAAACGTGTAGATGTGGTGCTTAGGGACATGGTTTAGTGAGTTAGGAGGTGTTGGGTTGATGATCCTTGAGGTCTTTTCCAACCTTAAAAAAAAAAAAAAAAAAAGATTCACAAGGCTGGGAGCAGCATCATATTGTAGGGAATGGATATAATCTGTTCTTGCAAAAGCACTTTTTCACAGGAGAAGCCGCATCTCCACTGAAGGATTTAATGGCTAATAATTCAATGTAAGATAGACAAGGCCTGGAAGGCATGTGATAGTGTCTGAGCAAAAAGAACCAGAGCCATGGTGGAAGAGCAAGAAAATGAATCCAGGCCTCTTCCTCCCAGGCTATAGTGGTCTGCTTTCCTGGGGTAAATCACAGTACTTTCAATGGAATGGAGAGACTGAAGCTGTAATTACAGTGTCTTTGTAAGAGCTCAAGCCCTGAGCTCCAGTCCAAGAAGAGCAGACTGGACCACATCAGAGCAGCTATAGGCTATGAAGTATCCTACGCACAGTAAGAAAAGCACTTTGGCCACTCCAGAGCAGAATTCAGGTGCAAACCAGCACAAACATATTGCAGACAACCAGTAAGCCTATGCTGCCCACCAAGTTAACTCTTAGCTTACTCTCAGGTTGTGATATCCTGATATTGCATAATTGCCACTTCCTTTCCAGCCTCTTTTTTTGGAGTGAATCAACTGATCCTCTCCATATAAAAACAAGGAAAGTCCTGGAAACAGATCGCTCACAAAAGTTGGCATTGACGAGGGTTTGTTCCTTATCAACCCTAGCTGGTCCTAACCAGCCCTCCAACAAGATCTCACCAGGTCTCATACAAACACACCTGCCATAAGCCCTCCTGACATAACCATTGTTATGGAAATACCACTCTGGTGGGATGCAGCTCACATGACAGGTTATTTCTGATGCTCCAAACAAAAATAAAAAATAAAACTACACATAAAAACACTTATCACATCTTAGAGACAAAGAGCCCAGAAGAGACCAAAAAGAAAAACTGCTTCACCATGTGGATACAAGGGAAACCACCAGGCTGCTGTAAAGAAGCCACCTGTGAGGAGGGTGCAAACAGGCCACCTTTCCTGTGGACCAGGCATCGATCCTAGGGGTGGATGCATTTAGTAGGATAGATGCAGCCTTGAGGGAAAGCATAACACAGAGAAGTAGGGACACCAACCTGACAGTACAGGTGCACCTGTATGTGTGCAGACACCAAATGAGCAGCATGCTCCATGTCCCATCCATTCCTTGGCAGCCTGCAAACTGCCTGAAGGCAGCTGGCTATGGCATGTACAAGTCCACTGGCCTTGCTAGGACACCCAGAGTCCTGCCGGCTACAGAGAGGGCAACCTTGCAGCACACGTGGCCACACTCACAGGCTCCAGCATGTAGCAAGCAAGAGCAGTTTCGAAGGCAGCTTTGTGCAGTCAGCACAGACAGCTTGTGAGTTTGGACCCTGGGTCTCTAATCAGGAGAGAAACCTGTTTTCTGAGTGTAACAGTGAGTCTCTGTTCCTTCCAGAGGCTGGTACTGCAAATTACCCACAAAGCACAATACATTCTCACCAGTTTTTCTTTTGTACTTAAAAGGCTGTTCCGAGATAACAAGCAAATATTAGCTAAGTAATGATAGTTAATCAGTTGCTCTGGCAATTTCACCTGCATTTCTGTTTGCACATGACCTCACAGAGACAATGGAGACCTACATTTTTATTCCTAGTCAAAGCATAATTATTAATAAATAAAAAATATCTTCTTTAGATCTATGTAGAGCCCTTCATCTGAAAAATAAGTCAGACTCATCTGCATTTTAGAGGAGATAAACTTTACTTATATGTCATGGAAAGCTGTATTTATTTAGGAATTTCCACTTAGGAAAACAGCAAAATACAAGAATTTTCTCTTTGTAGAGCTGCACCCACTAGAACTTCCTTGTTGTGCAACAGACCTAGTGGGCAGCCCAGGGCAAAGTCCCTAGGGCGTAGACCTTCTCTTCGATTTCAGTGGGAGTTATACATCAAAATGTCTTTGCAAAAAAACCCCTTTGTCTCTCAGAGGTCTGTTCAGCAGAACCCTTCTCAAAGACAACCTAACTTAACCGTTGTGTTTATTGCAGCACAGATTATTGTGATTATTTCAACAGAGAGATCGGTGATTCAGATCATCTGCTCTCTAAAGCTGCTGGCTCTATCCAGTCACTGGAGTCAAGTATTATTTGGTGAAGCTTGGTGGCACGAATATAACCTCTACATGTCAGTTTCCCATCTACTTTTGGAAAAGAGAGTATTTCCCTGCCTCAGAGTCATGTTTTTAGATGAGATTAGATGCATTATCAAGAATAAGAGGCACTCAACTATTACAGGAACAGGGACCACATTAAACACGCAAAAATAAAGGCAAAAGAAAGGATATAACTTGACTCAGTTTAGTAGGCCAGTCACAGGATGAAGAACTCAATGTAGGCTATGTATCTTTGTTCTATCTATCAAATCCTCATCAACTAATATATTTATTCTAGCTGATCAGACAAGTTAAAATTCTCTCTAGACTGCTCAGGACATTCCCAGGACAGGAGTGTATGACTTACACTTTCTTAAAACAAAAACAACAACAAAAAAAGAAGATTCAAAATAGGGTGTAGTACCTAATCGTGCTAACCTGACAGAATGGTTCGGGCAGAAATTACTGCATGCTACATTTTGCAAGTCTAATGTAAAACCTTTTCTACTCTTTGCCTGCAGACGCGATAAGACTCCGAGCCTCATGGAATCAGCATTCCAGTGCATGTCATCCAGTACCCTGTATACAGTGGATTTAGCAAAGCTTGCCTAAAGCTTGTTAAATCCCCCCTCCCACCAAACTATGTATTTCTGAAGTATAGCCAAAAAGATGAAGAAAATATTAATTCTAATTCATCCTGTGATACAAGAACATAACAGCTAATATTCCTTTTTTTCCCCAAAGGTGGGTACAAAGTGGTTCTTTCTCAGGCTAACCAGTCTGGGCTTCTTTGGTTATAGGATCATCCTGTAGTGAAACAAGGAAGTTAGGTGGGTCTCTTTGGTAAGATGATATGTAACAATTGACATTATGAAATCCTGCTATTTCACAATATCAGTGTCCAACAAAGCCCTGTTTTACTCTGTTAATCTCTTTACAAATTACTTGCACTTTCTTCCCCCTCCCAATGATTCACATTCTTATGTAATATATTTTGACGGTATCTATCATAAAGCCCATCTTTTTTGTAAGGCATTATGCAAGTACTTTCATTTAATCCCTTTATCAGTAGAAAGTCAGGTTAGTGTTTTAAAAATCATCCCTCTGGGCCATGTCCGAAATAAGAAAACCTATGAGAAATGGTAACACCTAGGTTAAAAATATGGTGTTGGTAAGGGTGAGTCTCAGTTTTCTGAGACCGTAGGAG